CCTGCGTCTGAGAGTGGAGTCGCCGGTCCCGAACACTGAGTTTACCCCCAGCCCTCCAGCCTGTGGTGGCTCCACCTCCCCAGAGAGGGCTCTTGTCCCTGGGAATCCCTCCCCTGCACAGGACTTCTGTGCCCCTTCCCACCCTCCTGGCCACCGACCCCCATCCTTCACTCTCCCTGCAGCCATCTTCCTCACTCACTGCTAGAAAGATTTTTCTACAAACACAACATGACAAGTCATTTCCACCACTGCCTGCCGTCCAACAGAGGTAGGCTCTTCTCTGTGAGTTAGTAGGAGGTCAGTGTATGGACTTTGAGGAGGTTGATTTATATCACAGTAGCCCTCGCTCATCCACAGGGGGTACATCCACAACTCTCCAGACACCCCAAACTGCCTACAGCACCAAGCCCTGCATAGGTTGTGTTTTCCCCTTTATAGACCTATCTCTGATCAAGTTTAATTTAAACTTAGGCACAGCAATAGCTTAACACTAACAAATAACAATATACAACCATTTATAACCATAGACTCTAATAAAAGTTTGCACTTAGGGACCATTATTAAGTAAAATGAAAGTTACTTGAACTTACGCACTGTGATACCCCGGTGTTCGTCTGATAACCCAGATGCCTACTGTGACTAATGGGTGGGTAGCATATACAGCCTGGATACGCTGGACAAAGGGATGATTCATGTGCTGGGAGGGATGGAGCAGGGTGACACAAGATTTTGTCCCAGGACACAAAATGGTGTGCAATTAAAAACATGAACTGTTTCAAACCACCATTGGCCTCAGGTAGTTGAAAGCACAGAAAAAGGAAGACTATTAACTAAAATATTAAGTATATTCATTTCTACCTTCAACATATTTAATACATGAATTTATATTCTCCACATGAAATATATTGATTCATATAAATATATTGAAAGAAGAAATTTATATAATTTTACTGTACACTTGCCAAAACTGGTCTGTGACAGTTTCACAGTCTTTCCTTGTTCTTGGTGATCTTGACACCCCACCCCACCCCCGGCCACACACACAGAGTTCAGGGAATGGGACCAGGGCTCACACATGCGGCTAGGCAAGTCCTGCACCACTGAGTCTCACCCTCAGACTTTTAAATTTTATTTTAGTTTAAAGACATTTTTTTTTAAGATTTTGTTTTTAGTTGTAGATGGACACATTACCTTTATTTTATGTGTTTATTTTTGTGTGTTCTGAGGATCAAACCCAGGGCCTCACACGTGTTAGGCAAGCGCTCGACCACGGAGTTACAACGCCAGCCCCTTTTTTATTTTATTTTGAGAAAGGGGCTCATTAGATTGCTGGGGCTGGCCTTGAACCTGTGACCCTCCTGCCTCAGCCTCCTGAGAGCTGGGATTGCAGGCTGCACCGTGCTTGGCAACCTTGACACTTGGAGGAGATCTGGCCAGTTCTTCTGTGGCATGTCCTTGGTCTGCTGTTTCCCTGAGGTCAGGCTGGGATTCAGGGTCTGGGTTCTCCTCTCTCTCCTGTTGCACCCCCTTTTCTGCTGCCTTTCCCCTGCTACCTGTTTATAACCACACTCTGTTTCCCCTGAAGCCCCAGCTCTTGGCAGCCTGGAATGCACCACCACCTCTCTCATGTGTTACTTGAACGATACACAATGGAAGCTCACCGTCTTAACCTTTTGAGACTGGCTTCTTTCCCTCCCACGGAGAATGCTCGGCTTCTCCCAAGCATTATTCCATAGAAAAGTCTCACAACAGCGCCCCCATCAGGATGGACGAGTACACCCACATGACAGGGGAGAAAACAGGCTCAGAGAGGTACAGAGATTTTCCCAAAGCCACACAGTGTCCGAGAAGGATTCCATTTTGGAGTGTAGTTGCCTTCATCCCTACCTTCCTCCCTTGAGGCCCAGGGGTCCTGAGGGCTCTCAAAGAAGGAGTGTGTGTGTGTGTGTGTGTGTGTGTGTGTGTGTGTGTGTAATTGGAGATTGAACCAGGTAGTGGTGGGGGGTTCAGCTATATTCCCAGCCTTCTCCCTTTTCTTTTTCTACTGTTTTTGGTCCTGAGGAGTGAACCCAGGGGTTTTTAACCTCTGAGCCACATCACCAGCCCCCTTTTTTT